CAGTTGCATGAAGAAGGATGTTTAGACCGTATTTACGGAAGTGATAAAAAGATTGGTTTGTGTGAATTCCCTCAGTAGAACTACTGGTAGTTTGGTCTAATTTGTATAACCAGTTCAGCAGCAGCCGCAGCGGCTTTGACACCGCCGAGTCCCAACAATGCCATAGCGAGTTCTTCCTCGTTCCACTGCCTCAGCCCATTGCTTAACCTTTTCAAAACATCAACATTGACGTCCAATACCCACTTCTGTGCACAACCTACCATCAAGCTCACGAACCCTGTTACGTACGCACGCCAAGTGGCATAATCACATCCGAGAGAGATTTTACCATCTATTGCGCTGGCAAGAAATTCCAAGTGCGCACCAAGGACCATCTGTCTTCGTTTCGATGCCGGTGAGGCGGAATCCACGCCCCATGCAAAGGTGCCACACAGCACTACAAAATATGCAAGTGCATAGCCACCCAGCATGGCAACTAGATCTCCAGGTTCCCCGCCATCCCTGTCTGGTGTATGGGTTGATAAGAACCAAGAAGGTAGCGTCTCTTTGATCAACAATTGGACCAAACTTAATCCACCTGATAGCCAAACCAATGAAGCCCCAAGTGATGCAGCAAGTCGGACTCGTGTCGTTGCTGCACCAAGAGAAACTTGTCTATATCTTAACCCAAACTTTGCCTTTTTCAGTTTCTCCAATTTCTCCCTGGATAACCCACTTCTGCCAATATCCCTTACAGAAGACATTAAAAGAGAGAGAATTTCTTCTGTCAAATACAAAATGTTTCTGATTGACCGATGCACTCGTAAGTACAGAATCCCTGGGGCAACTGCAGACATTCCCCCTGAGAAATGAGATCCAAATCCATGGCCAAGGAGTGCACCCACTCCACCGTTGCTGTAAATGGTAGCGGGGTTTATCCCAAGCGTAGATGTAAAGCAACTTCTGAGAAGTTGAACTACAGCGTCACTATCGTGGTGGAAGACAGTACGAGAAGCAGAGAACACCAGGAAATCACTCCAACGCTTAACCTTCTGAGCCCATAATGAGGCTATGATGGGCATGCATGGCCAGGGACAACTTTCAGCTAGGGAACTCAATGCTGGGCCAACTAATACAATGAAACGTTCAGAGGCTTTATCAAGTTTATAGGTTATAGTGAGGCTAACAAGGGCAGCCAAGGGAAGAGGAAGCATAGCCGGAGAGCTCCCCCCTGCAAGAAAAGAAATAAAAGACAACACATTAGCCGACAGTGATGTAAAAAAAAAAAAAGCCCCCTGATAAGCTTGTAGTCAAATTCACTTCCCCAACATGAAAAACAGAAATCCACATGAGCATCCAACCTTCTCTCCTTTTCATTCTTAATTCCACTTAATGATGCATAAAATATGTTTGGTGACTAGGGCAACTGAAGCAACTTTTAGTTCCAAAAATCACCTCTGGAGATGATTAAAATTTATCATTTGTCCACAAACTAATACTCAGAAAGGGGGAACAAACATAACGGTACAGAATAATACCTATGGCAAGGCTTGGGACGTCGACACCAGTGGCAGCTATAATTTTTTTGATTTGCTGCTCAACCATGAACAAATTTGCTGAGGGACTTGGCCAATCTGTTCCGTTCATAAAAACTGGCTTCCATATACCTCGTGTTACTTCAGCAGATAAGTAGCTGACAATGGTCGCCAGGGTAGCCGGAAGGAAATCAGCAAGATCTTTGAGTCCTGAGAAATGCAGGCAATGAAATTATGTTGCAAAGGAACAAAGAAGTCTAGAAGAACAGGGAACCTTAGCCACTTAAAAGACTGTCAATAAATGTTATGTGCCATTGTTTAGATTCTTTAGTTTCCAGGTACTAATGCCAAGTGCAAAACTTCATCTGATATCAAGTTTTAAAACAGAAAACAAACATAATGGTAAAATGAAGTAATTATGCTCCTGCAGGATACAAGCAATCAACCAAAGGGTCAATTTATAAATGAACCCCCACTTATCAGGAAGAAGCATATGAAATCCACATTCCAAAATAGTGCCTGAAATGTCACCCCCAGCACTGATATCATTAGATTGAGCCCACCTTAACTACGCAAGATGTATCAGTCTCTTCCTGATACAATATCATCTCCAGTTCATGCTAAACGAATATTTTCCGTTTATTTGCTTCCTTTGAAACAATAAAAACAAAAAGAACAAACCTGTTGCCAGGTCACGGGGCGAGAGCTTTCCATGGGCACAAGCTGTCAGAGCCGCATCAAGTACATAAGGAGCTCCTTCTAGGACATCCCATGCCGGAACTTTTAGTTTCATAGACACATCCTCGCCTCCAGATGCAGCAGAACCACTTCCAGAAGTTGTAGAAGTTAAAGACTGACCACCCTTGCTTATCTTCCTGAACATCATATTGAGGAGTGCATCAACAGTCTGGAAAACAGTTGTCCCTTGTACAAGTCCTGATTGGGTGGAAGCAATACACTCCAGATGCTGCCGGTACCAGCTTTTTAATTTTGGAAACGAATCCATAAATATGAGTTCCAAGGATATATTTAAATTTTTTGACATTCTTTTAAGCTTCAAACATCCTTCGGTGATTTCCCAAAAGCTGATACTTTGGAGTTTCGAACCAACAACAGATACTCAGGAGTTAGTTGGGATCCCACTGGTGTTACATCTCCCATCACATTTTCAAGAGGTTGATGGTTAAACCTCCATAATCTTAGTAGAAGAGTAAATGCATTGCTAAAGACAGCATGACTAGTCAGCTCTTCCCCTGTTTGAAGTGTCCACGAAACATTGGGAGAAGCTGACCCAAAAACCTCACAAAGGGGCATCAATGTAGCAGCAAGTAGTGGAATCTGAAAAAATATCAAATAACATCAGTGCATGGAGCACATATGATTTCTCCTCCCAAAAGACATCCCTTTGTATCCTTTCTTTTCTTATGCGGATGTATGCCAAATGGCATGCCTAATAGTTCATGCAACATATTGTCTCTGTAATGCAGAAAGCAGCAACAGCTGACTAAATTTTTTATTACAAAGATAAGGAGGAATTCCCTTCAGTTCAACAGAAACTGGGAGAAATGCATGCATCGATTAAGTGCAAAATAGGATCTTTTCAGCTAACTTGATAAAAATATTAGCCCATTAAACTTCCATCAGTTCATATGATCCACAAGAACATTCACATATAAAAAAAATTAACGAGACCTCCTATTCTTATCAAAAAAACAATAGAAAATGGATCACAAAAATATAGAACAAAACATACCAAGCCATGTAAAGAGAATATCTGGACACAGTCCACAGGTGATATTCCAACAAGAAGAATGTCAAAAAATGGACCATAACTAATCAGATGGCTCTCACTCCCAGAATAATCTGCAGGAACTGGTGGTGACAGCAAACTTGCAATGAAGAAAATGGTGTGTTCCTACAAAACGAACACCAAAAAATGTACACATGCAAGAAAATTTAAGGAAATAAAGGGGAAAAAATCTGAAGCACTTAAGAGTAATAGTGACAGATTATGAGATTGGAATGCAACCAGTAGCAAGTGACTTTCCGACAAATTACCTGTATATTCCAACCACGAACTAGAGATGCCCCACAAAGAATGCTAGCAGCAGATATCTTTTCATCATCTGAACCTTTGGTTGCAATCTCATGTATTTTCTCAATCTCTGCTAAGCTTCCATCAAATCCATGAACATCAATTCAGTTGCCTTAAGACTGGGTAAATTTATTAAAAGAAGAGAAAAAGGCATCTCATAGGCCTGGCTTCAGGAAAATGAAGGTTGCAACTGAATACCAGGTCATGGACAGCAAATTACTCGGATACCACAGTAAATCAGTATGGACACTTTAAGTCCCCACCACAACACAGACATTGATAATAATGGTGGAGACATACAATTTTAATTTCTCTACTCATGTATTTATTATTATAATAATATCTATTATAGGAACTTAAATTTTGATAAAGCATTATCATAAAGAAATAGAAAGACAAAAAAGATGATCCTACTAATTTGAAGAACACTATCATTAAGCCACCTTACAGCTAATAAAGTTTAACTACAGCATCATTCCTGAATTGGATTGTTCTACTGCTTTGGAGTGGATCAAAAATCCGGGTCGCTGCACCCCGTTGTTCAAGTCAATGGTGAAAGATATTGCTTCTCTTGTGGTAGAACAGGATTTATCATTAGGCATATTCTGAGATCTGCCAATTGGGAGGCGGATGGGTTGGCTAAAACTGAAATTGGATGATTCCTGTGTTGTGGGTCTGGGTGATTATGTTATGTTTTGGGTTGTATGTTGTGGGTAGTGTGTGTATGGAACAGGTTTTGTAATAAGTGTTCTATTAATAAATTTTCGAGGCACTCTTTTCCTCCTTCCAATGTCCTTCATTCTACTGCTGTAGTATGAAGGTTATGAAGGGGGTTTTTAACGAGGCCTCCCATATTTTTATCAAAAAACTACAGCATCATCAATCAAACACCTCAAAGCAAAATGACAAAATATTCTAAACTGCCGACTGAGTACTAGCTCAGTTGGAACCATTGTGGTTTGAAGAATTTTGGAGGTTGCAGGTTAGACTGGACTTAGGTGTATAAGGGCATCCTTAGGTGAGTTTTCAATTAACAGGTTTTTTTTATTTTTTTTGTTTTGGGGGGGGGGGGGGTTGGAGGTTAAGGTACTTTGGAAAATTTCCAAAAAAAAAAACTAAAACTAAAACTAAAGGCAGCAAGAATAGGAAATACTATAAATCTGCAAATATTTAAATAAATGTTATATATTACCAACTAGCTGTGTATAATAACCATAAGATGATACCGTTGACCTTTTTCATCCATCCCATTGATAAGTTCCCAAATTACGGTAATAACACAAAGTAGCTGGATCACAGTTCATTCAAATTCATGTACACAAGCAGAAAGAACAACCATTTCTGAAAACCAAAAATACAAATTACAACCAAATAAAAAAAAACTCAGTCAAGCCAAAAGTCATTCCAATAAAATCAAAGAATACTAGTAACTTTTACAACTTAAAAGGACCAAGCATAGCAAATATGAACTCTCATAAAAACAGTCCATTATTCTTTCAGATATCAAAATATAATAAAAGATAGGTTATGAATCCATTCCATAATTTTATGATCATTGGTCACTGCAACTGAGGAAAAAGCAAATGACAAATCTTGCACGGATAGTATTAGGGTTCAGAGGTTTGATGTTTGCTTCAACAGCCCCATCTTAGCAAGTTAGGACAAATAAAGAGAAAGGTTGCCAACTAAGTAAGCAAGACTAACTCTCCTCTTTTAGTTAAGGAATGAAAAAAATAAAATTTAAGAAAAAACTATAGAAAAATATTTCCAGCATACCTAGAAGCTGGAGTAGAAATCAGAGCATTTGCCAACGACGGAGTTAGAGGGGATCCTTTCATCAGTGATGACCAACCAGTCACTTGAACAGAAACATTACGGGGTATATTTGCACATGCGTTTACATAGCCTGGCCAAACATAGGCAGATGTGTCCAATAGATTTCTGGCAATACAAGCCTCAACAATCAGATGCCGCATGTTCCCAGCTGCAAGGAATACATTGAAAAAATTGGAAAAGCATTAGCTACAGAAAGAATTTATGGAAAGAAACAGCTATGAACAGACATAAGAGAATTAGAAAACGGAGCAAATAAATCCGTCTAAAAAGAATGAAAAGAAAAAAATCAATAATGTTTTGGAAGAAAATTCTTATATCTATATCTATATATATATATATATATATAGAGAGAGAGAGAGAGAGATAATCATGCCCAACGAGAGTAGCTCAGTCAACAAAATAAACCACAAAAAACTCAAGCCCTCTCATTTTAGTTGCATGATCGAAATTTTTAAGAGATGTGCTTGAGAGATTTTCAATAACTCTTAAACAGTAAAAAAGTAGCTACTTTCTCCCACTTGAACTGGTCATCAGCAGTTGTCCACACTAAACTTATGCAAGTAACACCTCTTGAAACAACCTTAATATATCATGTTAACCTCATATATTAGAAGGATAGTAGTGCTTACAGCAATTCATGGGCATGTCATTCATGCTCACGCACTCATAGTATCCATTACCAACTGTGAGACCAGAAACAAACATGATTGCTTTAGCAGCAGCCTGATTGGCCACTGAAAGAACCAGTTGAGGTGGGGTCAATAAAGCCTCATAATCACTCAACATATGTAAGCTGGAAATTAAACCCTGACGACATTTGCCTAGGGCTTGTTTCTCTGTTTTTTGATCGATGGAGCTGCAATCACTTTCATCAATCAATTCACTTTCCTCTTCCTCAACAATATTGGCCGCTGCAAGTGGGGTAATTGACAGTAGCATGCACAAGCAAGTGTCAAGGCGAGGTACAGGACCCTCACTAATGTCCCTTTCCTACGAAACAAATAAAACGGAAAGGCGGATCAGTTTGTACAGAGGAAATAGTGGAAAACAATATCAAAGTGTAATGTGTTCGATATAGTAAATCCGAGTTTATCTGCATCTTGAAAGAGAAATCAGTTTTGACAAACCAACTGCAGCAATAACAAACTAATCATTTCTCAATATCATGTTCTCCTATTAAGACAGAATCATCTAATATTCCAGTATTTTTAGAGAATAGGTGTATTACCTCCTCGGTTTTCACACACACACACACTAAATTCTCTCACAAATTGACATAAGACCAAAAGAGAGAACTACACTTTAGCTGGCTTTTAAACACAAGTCTGAAGCCACAAATGTAGAAGCTTGTCCACCTGCAGCATGCAGCCATACACACACACAAACCCATCCATCTAGATAAACGGATACATTAATGCTATAGCATACATTTACACACAAACACATGTAAATTCAAAAAAAATCTTCTCAGATAAAAATTTGATCGAAGGTAAACAAGAAATTAATCAAATTTGCACAAATTCTTACCCTTTGAACAAGCCTCAAAGCTGCAATCCATAGACCTAGAAATGTATCGTGCCATGTTGTACCATTGACTGCCTGTAAAGCCTTGACTAAACCTGCAAGATTGATTTTTGCCCCAAGTAACAGATCAAGAAACCATAATCAATTTGTTTCAAACAAAGCAATGAATTGAGAATCCGAAGACAACTATTAACAAGTACCAGTAAGACTTTCAACAGCACCAGTTGCAGCCACCTGTGATCCATCCATAGCATCCTCGAGAAACAGATCAATAGGAAGCCAACGTGTAGATAGACTACTACCGTGACATCGACTAGATGACGTTGTTAGACACCCAGAGCCTAAGTCAGCATTAAACTCTAGTTGTGATATTGTTTTACACTTCCTAGACACAACTTTCTGCACATCAGATATCAGATTAAGAAGGGCCTCTGGAGTTATATGTTTTGTGCTCCTCAATGCCATAGACTTTGTTGCAAGAACTCTTAATTGCTGAATGAAATTTCCTCCATGTGATGGCCTATGAAGAGTAACAGAATATAAGTGTTAACCATATCTTACTCAATTAACTCAAAGTATTACCAGGATCCCATCCAAAGCTCACTAGTTCAGTATTTTTTTTTCTTTTTGGCTACCAAATGATAGCATCACATAGAGAGAAAAGGCACCATATACTGCCTTCTTCTCATTTCTCTCTTATTCATAGAACATAACTAGCACTATAATTCCTCAGCAGAAAGAAAACTCAATAATAGATGTAAGTTCTTACATGTTTCTCCATGCCAAGAAAAGAATCCTAGAAGTTACTTTATTTTGCAAAAGCTCCCCAATAATCTCAATAGCCATCACAGTGTTTCCTTTATACAGCACATCATGGTGCTCTTTTCTCTTCTCATTGAAATTATCAGCATTATCTATTTCCATGTCTTGAGCTACTGTAGGCCATATATATCTCTTTTCAGGTGTAAGTTCCAATAATCCTTCATCAGTTAGTGATGCATCAAGAAGTTGCCATACAATTGAAAAAAAAAATTTAACTAGAAGTAGACCAGGTTCAGACGCTTGAACACCAAATATCTGAGAAAGATGAAGAACGTCATCTATTGATTTCATAATCCTGCCATTTCACCAGAAACTTGCATTAATTCTCATAGTAGTAGCTTAGCCAAGTATCCCTAAAATGATACGAAGTTAAACATTGACAAAGGGAGAGTATTTATATAATACAACCCAGTTTCATACAATATTAGCTGACATTGATTAAGGTTTCATTATTTTGTAACATGCGGTATGGTTTTCTTTAAATAACTTAACTAATAATATAATTATGTCTTTGCACATAAAATAAAATGTAAAATAGCTCTAATGAATCTTCAGTTTTACTATAGCCACTGCCAGAGGTCAAATTCAATGGCAATCCATAAATAAACCATACTTCTACGACAAAAAGGGGGAGTGAAATTGAAGTTTACTTTTGATAATTTGGTCCCTTGATTTGACATTTAAGTGAGAAGGCATGTCTCCTGAGGAGTTCCATGTAAAGCCGATATGCTGCAGGATGAAACTTACGATTTGGAATGACCCTGTCATAGACATCAAATGTAGTAAATTTCAGTAACAGAAATACAAAAATCATGATTCCATAGGCCATCCAATGTTAGACAACATGTGCCGGTGGAGGACTTCAGATAAACATTTTGCCCATTAAAACCTAAAATGCAGTCAAACCGAAAAATCTTTCCAAACCAGCAGTGAGCTTAAACAATCAACATTGACAACAATCCAAGCAATAAACCCCACAATTGCTATCAAATGGCCGCTAAAAAAACCTTTTTGAACACCTAATATTACATGATCTGTTAACAAGTACATCTGTACCTATGTACATACACACGTACATGCATATTTATCATGTAATCTGGCAATGGAGTTTAAAACAAACCATAGTAGGCAACCAAGAGTAGGATGTCAGAAACTATATGTATGGTTAATTCTTACATGACAAGAGATGAACAAAATATACAGCGTCCTTCGCACGAACCATACAATATTGTTTTTAAAGATGTAAACCAGGGTCAACCCAAGCAACTCAAAAAAAAAAAAGCGAGAACCAAGCATTATAGAAACCGAACAAAACAAAATAAAACAGGGAAACGGACCTGGTAGAGAGGAGGGCGAGGACGAGCACAGGGGGGACGAAATTGACAGTCATGGCCTTCTCTAGAAACTTCCACGTGATTGGCACGTGATTATCCCAGCAGATGTGGGAGACAAGCAGCTTAGCCAGGTCGATTGAAGGCAAAGAAATACCAGCAGAATTAAGGCTAGAACTGAGCTGAACAGCCCAGAGGAGTGGGTCTCCGTTCTGGTCCTGGGCAGACTTGGTCTGTTCCAGCACCGACTCCCATACCGGACTCGCCGCCTGTACGGAAATCTCCATGGTGGCTGCCGACGCAAGGCGGTGCGGCAATTGATGTCGATTGCGCTTAGTACTTGCAGTGGATTACGTTAAAGTAGAGAGTTGAGTCTAGCAACCGCTTCGCCGTATTTTTTCGAAAACAAAACTTGAAAGAACAAAACAGAATATAAAATGGCGAAAACGGGCAAAGAACGTTTTCCTTCGGATTTTTTTTCTTTTTCTTTTTCGACCCTTTTTGGAATGGATAAATTACATGCTTACTCACTGAACTTTAATTTATCTTATTTCACTCAGCGTACTTTCAATTTTTTTAATTTGATCACTGAACTTTAGATATTTAATTTTTTTTGTCACTCGACCGTTTACACAGTAATGGCGTGCTCACGTGACTTATTTTAATAATAAAACATGCCAGACATTTACTTACTGAACTTTACTCTCTCTTTTATTTTACTCACTGTACTTTTAATTTTTTTCAATTTTAATTTAATAGCGTTAAAAATTTAACGGTCGAGTGACCAAAAAAATTCAGTGTCTAAAGTTTAGTAAGCGTGTAATTTACCCTTTTAGAATTGCAGAATATGCAAAATTTCAGATTTTCTCATATGTCGTTTTCTTCTTCTTCTTTTTAATTAATCTAGAGCGAGTACAAGACAATATTTATTTAAAGATAACTCTCAACTTTTTGAGATATCATGTTCACACACTTTTGATCTCTATAATGCTTGAACTCGGATCTTCAAGGAATATCAATAATTCCTTTAACATATAATTCACTTGATTGACACCCATATGTGTTTGCTTTTCAAATAAAGGGACTTCTTGATTTTGGATGAAGTACATAAGAGGCTAATGAACTATGTCAAAAGAATCTTTAGTCGGATAACTTTTAAATATTATAACATGATTATTAATCTTTTTAAATGATTACAAAACAAACATTAAATTTGTTAAATTATTAT